CGCGCCCCGGCCAGGCTAGACGCCTGGCTCCCCCGGACGATTCGATTAAAAAAAAAACTTTTCGTTAATTCTCTTATTTTAAAAATTAAATACCTGCCGAGGAGGGCGACCCCACGAGGCGAGAGGGCGCATTTTGGCTTTCCCGGGCCACGCCTCGGGGGGGGGCTTCATCCTGCAGAGGACAGCTGCGGGGTTGGGGGATTCCCTTGGCGTCACAGCAATACGTTGAAGGATTTTACCCCCCCCCCATCCACAAAGACGTTTGGATCAGGGCTGCTCGGAGTCCGAGACCCATACTCCACAGCTCCCCCCCCCATCCGTTCCTTTTGGAGGGTTGTAATTAACATGATTTCCCCCCCTCTTCCCTGAAACAGGGACGAAGTAAACTGCGTCGAAACATAATGTCCCCTCACCCCGCTCCTCAAATCCCTATTTTAATGGAGGACATTCAAGCCCCAAACACTGCATTTTAAACCTTTTTTTTGGGGGGGGGGGGTCAGAGACCCCTTGGGGGGTCAGATGACAACTGTTGCACTCTTCCCTAGAAAGGGGGGGGGGGAGGACATATGAGTTAAACCTTCACACCAAACTTTGCATCGTATTTTTTAATACTGCAAATATTAAAGTGTCATTTTGGGGGCACAGCGCCCCATTCACAGATCCTCTCCCAGCCGTCCTGGTTCTCCTCGCCCTCTTGCTGAACTCACCCGCCCGAACCGGGTGGCTCCTTAGGCTTTCCATCCCCTCCCCCCCACATCGCCGCCAAGGCCTTGAAATAGTAGTTGCTCATCGTCTTTCATAAAGCAAAGCAGAGGCGTGCTGCCTATATATCGCCCTGCTCGGAATGAAGGTTGAGCGAAGCATTCTGTGGAAGTCAAAAGCTGGCCTAGTTAGTCCGTGTCGGCACAACCGACAGGCAGTGATGGTTTCCTGCCAGGAGAAACACACCAGTGATAGATAGAAGTGGCTGTCTCTTCAGAAGAACGTGGCCCGTTGCCCACATGGTGGTGTCAGGGAATGGTGTCCCTCAGGCTCCCCTCTGGGTCGATGGTGATTGTGGTGTTGGTTATTTTAACCCCTGGGTGGTGTTTGGTTTTATGTTCCAGGTCAATGTAGCAGACGCCAGGGGGGTAATCGTCAAAGGTGTAGGAAACCTGGCAATGACAGAGGGAGGGGGCGGCTCTTAATCCAAACGGTGGAACGAGAACAAAATGAAGGAAAGTAAGAAACACTTGGTGAATTAGGAGCAGGCCAAGATGGGAAACCTAGTCTTCCCCCCCCCCCGTCACATATAGGAAGGCTAGAGTGGCCATGGGATTCTTTCATTCTGGGCACAGGTGAGGATTTTGTTAGTCTTACTGTCCAAAAAAAAAAAAACCAAACAACTTCCCAAATTGTAATTGAATCGAAAGAAGCTGAGAGGATGATGATTTAAACAGACCTGCCCTTCAGGCGGACAGCTTTGATGTAAAAGTCTGGCCTGGCATCCTGGTAAACCCAGCCCAAGGGGTGGATTAGGATTACCCCTTCTTCTGAGACAAGAGCCACACCTTTAAGAGAGAGATGGGAGGCGGATGTCTCTCTCTCTGTACTGTAATTTTAAAAAGTGTTTGGTGGCTCCGGTTTCAGGGGGGCTCATAATCCACTCCAGATTTTCATCTTCACTTCATTGTATGATTCACCTATGGGAGCAGGCTAGAATAAGGTTGGGCACCTGCAGAGTGGAAGCTAAAACATGGAGTGGATTCTCAGCTCTTCCAAAACTGGAGTCACCAGCCACCCCTACTGAATTAAGCCAGTAAACAGAACTGAGAGCTTTTCTTTCCAGGATCCAAACTTTCCAAACTCCACAGACTGCGTGGGAAGTTTGGCCGAAAGGTCTTGAGATTAGAAACGAGGAAAGATACAAAGCACATCCATTTGGGGAATAAGCCATATTCACACATTATTAGGGGTTGAAGGTCATCACCAGATTGGGTCCCCTTCCCCACCAGATAACCCCAGTTTTTCTCACCTCCTCCCACTCATCTTTGCTGGTGCTGCTTAGACAGCATTCCCGGAGAGCCTCGAAATCAGCCGACAGCAGCTTCACCCGCAGTTGACAGTAAGCCAAGAAGGGAGTGTAAAACCTTTTGTTATCATGATTGTATTTTTTTTTCGGCAAGGGGTGGTGGGGACCAGAGGAGAGAAGATGTTAAGCATGAGTTGGGCGCAGGAGATGCCATCACCAGCAAGCGGCATTAATTCTGGTGCCTGAGCCAGAACCCACCCAGACACACCACGACTCTCTGCTCTGGTGGTGGAGCCAGAGGTTGGGAGTTTGATTCCCCACATGGGCCTCCCTGACAGGGGGTGGACTGGATGACCTTTAGGGTCCCTTCCAACTCTGCCATTCTAAGGCTAGACAGAATGTGTGTGTGTCACTGTTTGAGATTCTCAGGATGTGTGTTTGTAATGCCCGGGTGTTCTTGGACTACAACTCCCTGAAGCCTTCACCATGAGTGGTGCTGGGCAGGATTTCTGGGAGTTCTAGTCCATCTGAAGATGAATCACTGCCCCCAGAGAGTCAAAAAGATGCAGCCGGAACTCACCAATCCTTCACAGTAATCTCGGGCCTGGCCTTGTCCATCAGCTGATCTGAATAGCCTTCTTCTCTTAAGTTGATTAGCTGGCTTTTGGTGCTAACCCTGGGCGTAGGAGAAATAAAAAGGTACCAAGAGCTGAGAAAATCTGGATTTGGGACTCTGTGTTCTAGGGAGATTTATAACCGGTCGCCCAATCCAGTCCCCAGGACAATGTGCTGGACTCAGAGAGAGATTTGCCCGACTGAAACTTGGAAGGACCCTTTTGTAGTGCTGAACCATTTCAGAGAGATGATTAAAACACTGCACGATGCCTTTCAAAGTTCAGACTAAAAGCCCCAACGGCTCCAAAAACCTTGGAATCGCAGATTCAACGAGATCAGGATCTCTTGATCCATTTCTAGAATTTCTTTTGCATTAAGGATAATCAATGTTTGCTGACTTCTGCATCTTTCATTATTATTATTTTTAAACAGCCCGACGTTTGGCTTCTCGGCACCCCATGGAGCTGCTGAAATAACGGAAGCTTGGCGAAAACAAAAGAACCAGGAGCCAGCCAACAAACCGACCCCGCCAGGAGTTGATTTCCACCTTCATCTACTGAGAGCTGGTCTCAGATTTCCAAACAAATACAGTATCTTAATGTTGAGGCCATGGGGGCTGGGCAAGGCAGGGGGGGGGGTTGCTAAAGGGATGGGAACCTCAGAGCAGGGGAACCTCCCAACCCTGCACGACAACACCAAACCCTTTCCGGCTCAACTGAGGGTTAGATGTCAGCGGAAAGATGAGGGCGAAGCACTTCTGAACGCCTGGAAGGAAACGAGGCAGTTCTTTGCCACTCTCGCGGAACCGGATCAGGCGGGAGACGCTCCAGTGAAGCTCAGGGAGGGTCCAGGAGTTCAACCCGTCTGTGGGAAAGGAGGAGACAAAGAGAGAATGGGGGGGGGGAAAGGAAATGCAGAAAGGTTGAGACCGGGAGGCCATGAGTGAGAAGGAACACTAGCTGTGCTTATTGATCTGTTTTCAACAGAGAGGCCCGAGATTTGAAGGATGATGGGAGTTGTAGTAGATCAGCACCTGCCTTTGGCCTGTCCGTCGTGCAAAACGCAAGGTCTTCCTCCGTCTCCACCCCAAAACCCCCTCCCATGTTCTAAGAGGTCCCTTAGGGGAGACTGGAACCCACTGCTATTTCAAAAATGATGTTCCCCCCCCCCTCAGACGCTGGACAGACCTTCCCCGCAGGGGTTCCTGACGAGGTTCCCCCCATTGCAGTGGAAATAGAAAGCTCTCCAGTCCCGGAAGCCGCCCTCGGCCTTGGGGGGCCGGAGGCCGAGACGCTGGCACTTGCGTCTCCAGAGGCCCGGCAGGTCCACGAAGTCTCGCCACCGCAGACAAACCAGGCGGCAGCTGAGCACCAGGTCTCTCCCAGGCACCAGCGCCAGAAGGTCCAGGAGAACGTCGTCCGGCAAGGCGGCCAGGGTGGTGGTCTTCCTCCTGGACCGGCTGCGGGAAAGGACAAGAGGAGAAGAGGGTGAGCCTGGCTGGCAGACAGCTGCCCTCCTTCGCAGGAGGAACTGAAGGTCAGACAGGTTCCTCCCTGGGACCTTCTGGCCAAGGGGGTCCCGGAGGGCCTCCAGGCCTTGGGTTTGGTGGGGAATGGACTTTTCGAGAAGGGGTCAGTGCCCCAGAGACCGATGGCCGGGGAGTGTCCTCTCCTGGGCTTCTTGGAGGTTCCCCACCCCTTCCGGCTGAGCGGGTGGGACCCTTCCAGGGGGAGGAGAAGGAGAATCACTCTGTACATGTTCAGAGACCCTGGGGCAGCTTTCCCCTCCTGCAAGCAGGTCCCAGCCTCTGGGCAAAAGTTCAGAGCTCCCAAATCCGGGCACAAGGGGGGGGGAACAGAATATCTCTCCAGCTTCGCTCCCTCCACCCGGGTGCTTACCTGGGAGTAAGCCCCATGAGACAGCCAGGCGGGTGCGCTGCTTGGTCAAGGGCACCGATCCTGCGCAACGGCCGGGGAAAGGAAGCGTACGCGTGCGTGTGGGTGGGGAAAGCCTTCGTGGTTGCGTGTCAGCCGGCTGACGTGGGAATGGCAAAGGTTCCGGGCGCCCCCACCCCTAGAGTCTCGTGGGAATTGCCCGGCGTGGGTCCAGGCCAGCCAACGGCGGCGAAGGGGGACCGGCGGAGAGGCGCTTCTCCTTCTCGAGCCCGATCCGCCCAGGAGGGCAGGGCGTCCGGAGGGTCCCCAGCACCCGCCCCGGAGACAGCATCGCCCCCGGCGGGCGGAACTTCCTTCGCCGCCTCTCTCTCGCCTGGCTTCGGATCCCTTTCCTTCTGGAAGGGCGCCGGGTCCGATCCGGAGCCGGGAGAGAAGGGTCAAGGCAGCCCTGCCTTCCTCCGGAGGGGCTGCCAAGCCGGTCCCGGGGGCGCGGCGGGAGGAGAGCTCTGGGGAGACCCCGCACCCCCAGAAAGAGGCACGAGGGGGTCCTCAACCGCGGAGAAACGGGGGCCGCCCCGAGGAGCATGCTTTATGAAGATGATGCCAGGCTAGACTGGAGGGTGGAGGAGCCGGGGCCTGGCTGGTGGCAACCAGAAGAGCTGCCAAGAAGGAGGGGCCGCCGAGACGGGGCCAGCCTGGCCTCCAGTGGGAGGGAGTTCCACCGTCTGCAAGCAGCCCTGGAGAAGGCCATGCCTTGTGTCCTCACCTCGCACAACTGTGAAGGTGGTGGGACCCTGGCTCACAAAGGGGGAGGCGGGCCCTGAGATTGCTTGGACCCCAAGCGGTTAGGGTTCCAAGGGGCAGAACTGTCCCTACCAGTGACTCCCCAAAGGCCGTGTCCTCCTCAGCCCTGCTCAGCTGGTAGAGGCTCATCCCAACCCTTGTGCTTGTCTCGCTTCCAAAACACCCCAGAAAAACTGCTGGACCGTCTTTCATGGGCTGAATAACCTGCCCCATTTGGGGCTCCGAAATCAAGCCGTGGGCCAGCTCTTGAGACGTCCAAGAAATATTGGGAATTCTTCAGTGGCACAGCTCGGAGGTCAGCGAAAGAGGGAACATTTCCCAACCTCACGTATTTATTTGTTAGCGAATTTATTCAATTTTCTTTTAAATATTTCTTTACCCGACTTATCTCCTTAAGAAGGACCTCAGGTGGCTTGCATTGTTAAAATATTGTATTTCAAGCTAAAAAAAAACAGGAGATGCACAAGGCCGTTTGGGCTGCGATTCACTGAAGTGCATTCTGTCAACAAGAGAGTCGATACAGGTTTTTTGAATCCGATCGTGAGGAGCCACCGATTCAGACATCGAGAATCTGTAGACCTGGTCCATTTGTGATCTTGCACACGCGGTTCCTTTGTATGTGCCAATAAAGGCTTTTGATTTGGAAAGTATGAAAAAGGATCAAACGAACATCGCCTTAAAAGACGGGAAACCAAAGTGACACCAAACACACATTCAAAGCAGTAAAGAACCACCCTCCAGTTCACCATCCCACTTAGGCCACTGTTCGCTCTGGGAAAAGTTGTCGGAAAAGCTGTTGAAGAGAACGGAGGGTGTTGTAAAAGGAATCTTGCAAAGGCAGGGTGCTCGGATTGGGGCACCCTTCTCTCGGTGCTGGGGCCTCTAGGTCAATCGTGATGCTTGTACCGGTTATTTCCACATCACACTTATAGTAGCTGGCCTCATGCTCCACCTCAATGTGCCGGATGCCGGGCGGGTAGTCGTCAAAAATGTGGGAGACCTGAAGAGGAGGAGGAGAAGGAGGGAATGGAGCTTCAGTCCAGAAGAGTAGCTAAGCTAAACTTTTAAACTTTGAAATGTTTTTAATTCCCTTCATTTAGTTTTAATTATTATTAGAGTTCCATTGTTTTTCTTTTTAAAAAAAAAACTGTAACAGATTGACTGAAAATGATCTGGTTTGCATTGCATGGCTCTCCATAATTCCACTACTTTTCTCCGATGCACAGTGGAGATCAGGGTCAATTTTTTTCCTTTTAAAAAAGCAGGGTTCAAGACTTGATTTGTCTTTTCTGAACAGTTCTGGGCCTAACATGTGAGATCTGGCCCTCAGATATTGTTGACCTTACCTGACACCAGGATCCATGTTCTCCACTTAGTTGACATTCTTGAAGGACTTCATAATCTGCAGACAGTAGCTTCACACAAAGTTCAACATGACCTAACCAGTGTACATAAAACCTTTTTTGGGGGGGAGAACAGGTGACAAAGGGTGGGATAAGAGGAGGAGAAAAGGGTAAGCATCACTTAGACCCACCAAGTTTCCTGTTCCTTAGCAAGGACAAGGGGAAGAGAACATACGGGAATAACAATAAAAAAAGGCGACCCATAAATGTTGAACAGGCGACCGCTCTCCAGTGCTGAGGCCATGCTTCTGCAGCTTTTACCAAGGAGCGGATTTATGGATATGTTGACTTCCTGTTCAGCAGTTGACGGAATGGGTCTATACCAGCTGGGGATCAACAGGACTTAGGTGTGTATGTGCAATAAACATAAAACACGGGGTGGGGGGGAGTTAGAACAGATACATTGGACCAGAGTCTGGGAGAGTTTAAACATCTGGATAGTTCAGTGGGTTGAGGTCTCTGGCTGCAGAGCCAGAGGGTTGGGAGTTTGATTCCCCCGCTGGGTCTCCTGCGAGAAGAGCCAGCCTGGGTGGCCTTGGGCCAGCTGCGCAGTCCCCAGGAACCCCCAGAAGAAGGGAATGAGAAACCGCTTCTGAATAATCTCTATCTAGAAAACCCTGGAAAGTTAGAACGGACTTGACAGCATGTGGTTATTATCTGGGTCCACAAAACTCTGCTGAGAGGGACTCAGTACAGAGGTGGGGGGGGGAAACTTATATTTCATCCCCACTCCATTCTAACCCCCCAAAACTGGCTGGCTCTGGTACTCACCAGTCGTTCACCACAATCCGGGGTCTGGTCTCATCCATCAGCCGATCCGAGTAGCCTTCGTCCCTTAAGGTAATGCGCTGGCTCTTCACCCCCTGCCTGAGGCATGGAGGAAAGCCATCGAGAGCTACTCCTTTTGAGAACCCAGTTCCCTTCCCCAAGACAGGGCCAAGGAAGCTTTTTGGTGGGCGGCCCAGGCATCAAACACGGCAGATTCCCTCCCCCCCCCATCCTCTCAAAAGAGATTTCTGATCTTTAAGGGTGGGGTGCCTTCCATAGGGAACTTTCCCATCGTAGCAGGAAAACTCCCAGAGGACAAAAAGGGGAAGGCCAAGGACGGCTTTACCCTATAAGAGGACCAGCGACTACAAAGCATTTCTCCACATCCAGAGGGGGGCACGGGATTTGTTTATGGAGCAAGGGCAAGTTGTAGGAAATAGTCATCCAGCTGGTCCTACGAAGGTCCCAGAAGTCCAGATTTTCTGTGGGAAAGACCAAAAAGAAGGGCCAAGAGGTGGGAAGGAACTCAGAGAGAGGAGAACAATCCTGTAGGTGATCATTTATTTATTTATTTAGATTCTTTATAGCCCCCCCTTTCTCCCCATAGCATATACAAGGACCGACGGTTTCAAAAATTCCATTAAAAAACAACGACATGTTTGTCAAGATGAAAACTGGGATCAAACACAATTGATCAAAACCAGGCATGGGGTGTCGCATGCTTCAGCCGTGGCTGGATTGCACCTCCCATCTCCCTTTGTCAATAGCACCCATGGAGAAGAGGGATCATGGGGGTTGTAGTCCAACTACTAGACCTTGAGTCAGCAAGAGCAGACCTTTGGGAGGTTATTGACTCATAGAGTCACCATAAGTCAGAAGTGATTTGCTGATGCATTTTAAAAAAATAGCATACGGCATGAGACACTCTTGGGGTCCAAAGGACCAGAACAATCAAACTTAGGCCTGGCTGGTGTGTTGTGTTTTGAGTTTTTCTGCCCCTCCCCCCCCCCAGTAAGATGTGCAGGAACCCACCTTTCCCGCACGGGTTCTTGACGAGGTTGGGCGTGCTGTGGTGAAGGTAGAAGGTCCTCCAGTCCTGGATGGGGCCACCAGATGCCGCTGGGTTGAACCCTAAATGCTGACACTTGCGACTCCACAGGGCAGGCTGGTCCACCAGGTCTCTCCAAAGGGAGCACACCAGCCGGCAGTGCAGGATCAGGTCTTTCTTGGGGACCCTGCTCAGAATATCTAGGAGGACCTCCTCTGGCAGGTCTTGAATGGTCGCCTTCTTCCTTAGAAAGGATCTCAGCCACCTGGAGGGCAGGAGGTGGAGGAGAGGAAGGCACCCGGTCAGGATCTTCTTCCAGAAAGGACCCTTTGCGTTGCTGAAGTCCCTGGGATGCTTGCTCTGGTGTAGGTGGACGAGCCCTGGTGGGCAAGGGGTAGGTCGAGAACCCAAGTGGCGTTGTGGGTGCCGGATTATGACCTTTGAGATGTGGGCTCAAAACCCCTGTAGAGCCCCAAAGCAGGCTGGGGGGGAGGGTCCCACCCCCTGCCATCTTGGCCTGCCTTGCAGGGGGGGTTGCAGAAGTGCCCTGTGGACCACCTAATTGCCAAGAGAGGAAATACAAGGGAGGCCCAGTTGCAAAAGGTCCCATCCTCCCCCTCCACGGGCTTTCCGGGGATGATGCGCACTGTAGTCCAGGGACATCCATGCTCCCGTAACCCTTTGGCCTTATCCGGCAGGACGCTTTTCTGTTTATGTATTTATTGCACTTTTATCCCGCCCATCTGGCCAAAGGCCACTTGGGGCCGTTTACAAGGTGTATAGAACCACAGGACCAAAACGCAGTCAATAGGATAAAGAATAAAAATAACGAAATGCAAATAAATAATACCCTCAAAGCATATAAATACTTTAACCTAAAATGTAAAACATTAAAAACATTTGTATTCTGTGAGACTTCACGGTTGGGATCTGACGCTGGTTGTGGGTTTTCCGGGCTGTTTGGCTGTGTTCTTCTCTCGACGGCATCCATGAAAAAAGAAACAGAGGGCCAACTCCCTTTCTTAGATGTCAGGGTCATATGCAAAACTGCCCTCCTATTGGGACACAAGGTGTGCAGAAAACCCACCCGCACAGACCGGTCCCTTCAGAAAAACTCCAACCACCACCCACAGCAAAAAAAAATAAAAGAGGCACAATCAACACACTGGTAGACCCTGCGAATCGGAACGGTGAAGCTCCATTTCTAAAAAGGACACGGCCAAACAGTCCGGAAAACCCACAAGAACCATTAAAAAACATTTGTTAAGAGCCTGGGGGTGTCACGTCGGCGGGCTACCAGGGCCAGGAGGTCCGGATTCTGGGAGATGTAGTGGAAAAAGTCCCATTTCCAAGCCTTGCTCTTCAGGAGCCGGATTCCAACCCTCCCTCTCCCTTTCTGAGAGGTGACAACCCCCCCCACCCCCACCGCCAGGAGATTTCCGGGGCTAGGAAAAAAAAGAAAGGAAAGCACTACCGCTTCACTCCGGATTGGGACATCCGATTTCAATTCGGAACAACGGGAAAGCGAAGTTTGGGAGCCCCCACACGGACGGTCTCTTCCTCCCTAGACGGCTCAGCGCCCTTTCTCGTTTTTCCCCGGCCGGAGGCGGAAAAGAAGACTGGTCAAAACCACGGATGACTTATTCGCAACGGATGAGGCCGTAATAAAGTCGTGCAAGCAGGGGAGGACCGGGGAAGGACCTCGACAGCCTCTCTCCGGTACAGGGCGGCGGGTTCGATTCCCGACCTCCCCCCACCGAAAAGGAAGCAGAGAAGAATTCCCCCTTTTTCATTTTTATTGTTCCTGGATTTCCTGGAGTGGACGAGGCGTTCCCTCCCCTTGGTCCCTTCCAGTCACATCGTTTCCAGTTTGCACACGTCGTGTGTTCAAGGGCTTGGTTTTCACCTCTGCCACACCCTCCCCCAGCCGGACTCGAACCCCGAGCTCCATGTCATCCTCGCTACCCACTACACCGCCAGAGAGGGCAAGGGCGATCCCAGCCAAGCCAAGCCAAGCCCCCGAAATCCTCTCCTTAGGCTGAGTCGCAAACAGGGGGATAATTAGGGGAAGAAGGTGACGTCAGAGGGGCGTCATCAGATGCAAATGAGCGGGGATTTCCTCTCCTCCTCCTCCGCCCCGCCTGCTGTCTCCTTCCTGGAGGTAAACGCTTTTTCCCGTAACCGTCGGGGACTTTCGACGGTGGGCATGCTATAAACGCGATCTTCTCTGACATTACTTCGACACCTTAGTTCTAGGGGCGTGTGGGTGTGTGCCTTGCCTCTTTGACGTGGTGTCAGGCGGCCTTTCCGCCATGTTAGGGGCTGCGCTTGGGTTTCTTCGCCCAAAGAGTTAGGGCCAGTTGAGCCGCCTCTGCAGGATCATAACTAAGGCGGTGGTTGGAGGCACTGCTCAAGCTGGGAAGAATGAAGAAAGTTGGGTTCTCTCTATTTTTGGCCACTTCTAAGATCCAGAAATCAGAAAAGTCCCTCTCAACCCCCCCCCGCCTTATCTTTCCCTTCAAGAGCTCTGTGAGATGGGGGATTTTGGGTCTTGTAGTCCATCAAGTGTCATTGAAGCGGCCAACCTGAATTTGACCCAACTCCAGGAGGCAGTGGAAGACCGGAGGGCCTGGCGCTAGATTTCTCCTCTCGCTCTTGGTTCTCTCTTTTGCAGCGACCTGAACTCTGCCCGAAGAAGGACGATGAGCCTCGGAGGTCTTCCCCAAGAGATCCTGTTGGAAGTCTTCTCTCTGGTCCCTGCACAGGATCTGGTTCAGCGCTGCCGGCTGGTGTGTTCCCAGTGGCGGGAGGTGGTGGACTTGGACGTCCTGTGGAAACGCAAGTGCCGCCGGGAGGGCTACGCCATGCCCGCGCTGGAGAGCTCCATCCAGGACTGGAGGGCCTTCTACTACCTCTGCAGGCTAAAAAGGAACTTGATCGAGAACCCCTGCGGGGAAGGTGGGTCCTGGTTTGGCCAAGTCCATCACCTCCAAAAGGCACGGTTCCCGAACAGCTTCTGCAAACTCAGCATTGAGGGTTCCGTGATGGGGTGACTCCACCTCACCTTTGACTTTCCTCTTTTCCTACTGCCTTCAACTTTTCCAAGCATTATTGTCCTCTCCCTGTGGAATCTTGTCTTCTCCTCTTGTGCCCAAACCACAACAGGCTTGGTTTTGTCATTCTTTGCTTCTAGAGACTGTTCAGGTTTGGCTAGATTCAAAGCCCACTTCCTTGTCTTTCTGGCAGTCCACGGCATTGGTGAAGCTCTCCTCCCCCCCCCATTTCAGCAGGTTTGAAACCAGGCCACTTCACTTCCTTCTGTCCTTTGTTTGTCTGCAGATGGCTTCAACTTCTGGGAGACTGAAGACGAGGATGAAACATTTGAGGTTGGGCGCATAGACAGAAGATACCCCTTTCTACCCATGCATGTTCGATCAGGTTTTGGGGTGTACAGTGGCGGGTAAGGATTCTGTTCCTCTTTTAATTCGTTTATTAATCAAATCATGTCTATGAATCACTTCCCAGTCCCCAAGGGCCTGCCAGAGAAATGTATGGCCAGCAGATTCTTTAAAAACCATCTTAAAACCACTATTTAAAAACCATATTAAAACCATTTCCAAAAAAAGAGAGTTCACAATAATCTTTCCATTTTTTAAAAAAAGTTTCAGCACCACGGAAAGCTCCTGGAAATGTCATACCCAAAGAAGGAGCGGATTTCCCCACCTCCATGACATAGGTCACCCTTCTCCCTTGCTTCCACACATTGTGGGACTACACATTCCATGATCCCCAGCTGCATAATCTAAAGTAAGGAATGCTGGGAGGTGTTGTCAAACAACTACAGGGAGAGCTGCCTTTTGTCCATCTATGGGTTCAGATGACTTCAAACCCTAATTTATTCAATTTATATCTCGATTTTTTCCCCCAAGATGGATACAGAAGGCAGATAAAAATAAAATAATGAACCTACCAGAGTGATGTTAGGAACAAGCAGCGGTACCTGGTGAAGCTATCGGAAGTCAGAAAACCTTGACCATTGACTGTAACAGGGATGTGCTGTTACAAGCTAGAGTTTGGAAAAATTGCTTTCTGGACTACAGCCACCATCATCCCCTGGGCAGCATGCTAGGACACATAGTCTGGAAAAAATAATTTCCTAGGCTTTGGCTTCATTGCTCTGTATCTTCTGGCCATCTATGCAGAAAAAAAGTGAATTAAACTGGGTTGAGGCAAAGAAATATTGAATGGCTTTTGATGTACACCTTCCACACCCAGTGAGAAAAAACAGCTCATCACCTTAAAGGATCACGGCTACTGGGATGAACTGATGGACGAGATGAAGCCGGATATTATAGTGAAGGACTGGTAAGTATCAGAGGCCCCTCTTCCCTTAGGGCTTTGTTTTTATGAAAAGTTTAAGGAAGGCCTGGGTCGAAAAAAAACACACTCATAAACAGCTTTCCGAAGCAGTCAAAAATGAGTCCAAATTTCTCCCAGAAAACTCCCAAGTCCCAGTCCGGGATTTGAACCCCTAGGCCGCCCTGCTTTCCTTTAACTTTGATCCAAGCAAATTCAACACTTAATGAGATTTGTTTCAAGGGTGAAAGGATCGTGGAAATGTCCTGGAACTGGAAACCCGGCTTCCCTGGGTCTGTAATCTCACTTAGCGACCCATTCATTGGCTGAAAAATGCAGAAATATTGAATGCTATGCATTGCATGGTCTCTGGCTGCGTCTAGAGGCCAGTTCTGGTCAATACACCCTGGAAATACCAACAAATAGGTCTTTCTGGGGAATTTTATTCATTATTTTCAGCCACTGGATGAGTGACTCAGTGGATACAGATCCCGCAGATCGGGAGGTCCCACCACACTAGCAAGAGAAAAGCAAAGCATCCTGGCAACTCACGCTCGCTGTCCTCTCCTTGTGCCCCCACGCAAAAAAACCAAAAAACCAGGTCCGACGTTTTGATCCCCTGCCACACACTGACGGTGCAACTCTTGGGGGACATTTTTCAAGTCCTCTGCCAGTCTGAAGACAAAGATCTGGATGAAGTCACAGACGACGATGAATACTGGTGTGAGGTGAGAGGAGGTCCCGTTTCTGGGCTGGGTGGGATCCGATCGGTGACCGGAGGAAAGGAAACAAAGTCTGATAAGGGTGTTCCAAAGACAGAAGTCCAGAGGCAGTCCGGGTAACGAGCTGCCAACGTCCAACCGGAGAACCCTCCGTGAAAAATATATTTTTTTTCCTCGTTTCCAGGTATCATATGTTTTTCGCAGCTATCCTCGGGGAGTCCGCCACATCCTTTTCCAACATGGGGTCACTGGTGTCGATTCTGGTACCCTCACCAACAGCACGGTCATCATTTCCCCACATGTGCCCTAGGGAGAGATGGTTCCAGATCGCTTGAATGCATGGTTTGTTTGCTTTAATTAAAAAAAAATGATTCTAGCTTTTCTTGAAAAGTGAGAATTATTGTACTTTAAAACTTGTAACTACAGGAGGAACCCCCTATCCACAGGACCAGTATCCGCTGATTCACTTATCTGTGGGCCGGAAATACTAAATAACCCCTCTTCCCACAATACCTATTTCCAGAATAAATATTACCAGGGTGGGTTCACCAGCACTGGCCTCCAGAGGGAGCCAGAGATCATGCAATAAGGTTAAAATAAAGGTGTTCTCTCCCCATGGAAAGGATATGGGGCAGGGTGGGGGGAACGACACGTGGTGACCCTTAAGATAGCGCGTTGCGTTCAAGTGGAGTGAAGGATCTGCCCCCATTTCTAGGGGTGAAGACATGTCCAGTCAACTGGAATGGGAGGAGGGCGCCATCTTGGCTTTTTGCCTCAGGCAGCAAAAAATCTTGGGTCAGCGTTTAGATAGTTAAAAGGAGGCGGGCACCATTGGGAAGAGGGAGGGCTTTTTCTCTCTCCGAAACGGACGTAAGATGAGGCCAGAGACCAGACGGATTTCAGGGTGGACCAAAGATATTCCTTCTCCTGGCATACGATTCATCTGCGGAACCCCTGGCCACAAGAAGATTCAAAGGTCGGCGGATTAAATGCCTTTTGAGAGAAGGATAAGTAAATATTCCGGGCCTGATCGTGTGCACAAGAAGCTCGCCGGGAGGGTGCTAAACTTGACGAGGCCTAAAGGGGCAAATCTAGGCGTGTCTACTCAGAGGTAAGTGCTGGTGAGTTGAGTCAGGAGATGATCAAGATTGCAGCCTTACTCAGGAGAAAGCCTCTTTGAACCTGATTGGGGAAACGTTAGTGTTTCCCCACCAAGCCGGTTGGATTCCAGCTGCCAGCAACTCCTGTTAGCATGGCCCATGGGAAAGGAGGAGGATGGGACTTGTAGTCCAGAAAAAAGGACCATAAGACAGGAGGGCTAAAGACGACTCCTGGCCCCTGTTTTAGGGCCTTCGTTTTAAAGGGCTTTGCTAGGATCGCGCAATCCCAAGCACGCTTAAGGGGAGGCGCCAGGAGACCCGGGAAAGTTGACATATGGGATCCCCAGGGATAGTGGGCGGAGAGTCCAGACTGGGGCCAGCGGTGTCTGCCGGGATCCTGCTTATTCTGTGTTTTCTTCCACCTGGGGAGTAGTGGGTGGAGGCTGTCTAGGGTCACCTCTTTCCCGTTTGGGCAACCAGGGTCAGCAGCCCCATGGCCCTCTGAGACGCTCATCGAAATGCCTGCTGATAACGAACATAAATCTCATTCCAGGCAAGCACACCAGCGACGCATCTGGGGGTGTGTGTGCAGAGAACACACCTTTACAGTTGTGATCCTTCTTAGTTTCCTTCTCCTGCCTTGTCATCCCCTGGGATCGACTGTGTTCCAAACTGTGGATGCAATTCCCAGGAGTGCTGGCTTTTCCTGGAGATGTTCTGTCCGCAGG